AAAAAAAAAAAAAAAAAAAAAAAAAAAAAAAAGATTCTTACGGAACTATTTCGAAACAGAAAGGAAAAAGCTATATTGAACTCACTCGGTAGCATCCTGACGGTTAAAAATTCGCCTCCCTGCACTACGAAATTTTGGTTTAGTGTCCAAGCTTATGCTGTGAGACGGACCTGGAATCATGTCGCTGTCATCTCTGTCCCTGTCACTAACACTTCGTCTATTTCCTCTTCTCTTTGACGGACTGCAGCGCAGTGCTAAAAAACATATTTCGACTCACGAAAACAATAAAAGCGGGTAAATTAAAGAACTACCCAAAGTGATTACGGTTAAACGTTTCCCACTTTGAAATACTTACTTTTTCCGTAACGTTTCCTAAGCCTTATGCATTCTTATTCAAACATCTACGTTCCTCAGTAAAGTTAGGAAACATCTTCCGCAAGCCATTTAAATTGTTTACAAACGCGGAACTTTACGTTCGTAGAGGGGCAAACAATTTTGACTATATCAGGGATACATTAACCAGAAAATAATGACCATAATTAGACAAATAGAATAAGGGCAAAAAATATTGGTTAATGAAAGACTTCTGTATTAGATTAAAAAAGATGAACTTACAAGGACTAGGATGAAAAACCTGATTTTTCAAAAAATTTTGGAATCGCTGGGCATAGAAACTCGGGTTGTGAACCGAAACGGAATCCTGCAAAAACTAGAGTGATGAGTTTTTATTAAATTCTATCGCTTTCCACTAAAATCAAGAAACGCAAAAATGTTCTCTCACATTTCCCGAAGTTGCCAGTTTGTGCCATTTATTTCCTAAAAGTTATTTGGTTGACTACGTTTAACTCGTAACGCTTGATTTTTTGTACCTAAACTTTTACATTTTCCAGAAAAGTATGTGAAGTAACAGGCTTCAACTGCAATCAATTTCAGCCTTTGGGCTAGATGAATTTCATGAATAATAAGCGAAACAAATGACTCAAAAACCTAGCAGCTTCTCTTTGCACTAGTAGCGATAACAAGAGCTTACGAGACTGATACCTCCTACAGATGCATAACAAACAAGACAATAAAGATTTATTTAGGAGCTAAAAAAAGCATTCCTACACTGCTCCGGACTTCTATGACTGAAAGCAGATAAAAAAAAATTTTCTGACGACTGTAAAGTTTATGAGAAATCATCGCTTTGAATAAAACCCTTAGCACTACAATTATTTTCAGGAAAGAGATAAACCCAAAAATTTAAAAGCTACATCATTAAATGTGTAAATGCGTAAAGTAAAACTATCTGTCCATTTCAATGGATGCAGCTTCTTATTTTATAAATTCCTAATCATGAAATGCACCAGATTAATTGATTTTAGAATATGAGAGCATGCTACGCTGTTTTTTAATTTTACTGAGCTTTAGAGGCTGGTAGACGATCGGAGAAACAAAAAAGCCTAACAAAACAAAAAAAAATCTCCCCCGCCAAATCACGGGTTATTAAAACACCAAAAAAACTCGAGTTTTTTTTTTTGAGATATAATTTAAATGCTTATCGCTCAAAAAATAGCCTTCCCAATTGATCAAACGTGATTTAAATGAAACTCCAGCCTCCCACAATCTATGAATCGCGCAGACCTCTGTCACAATATGGCAATTTACAAGAGGATGGGACACTACAAAGTTTTAAAGTGTGAAAAAAATGAATCAATTCTGAAAGCAGTAAAAATTAACACTTTACGGGACCTTTTGTTAGTCCGAACAAGCATACTTTCATAGCCTGCGGATTACAAAAACAGAGATTGAAAACACTTAGCGCAAGTAAAAAGTTTCAACAATTTATCACTGTGCATATTACTTCCTAAAAAAAAGTTAACTTCGTGAAATTAAAAATCCTCACTTGAGCCGCTTTCTGCATTTTCTGCTGCCCGTGCAATTACTGCATTTGATTTGTGTTTTTAAATAAAAGTAAAATGCTTTCTTGTGAATCATATGGCAGCCTTTGAACCATCTAGCTTTTTTGCGTGATACTCAGCTCCGTTCTGAGAATTTTTCCGTATGCTCCTGCTGACTACTCGTGGGTACAGAAGTGCTATTAAGATAGCTCAGGAGATGCATTATCTTACGGTCGTATCCTTATTAGGGAGTGAGCGATACTGTTCAGGTGAAACTAGGTTTGGAACTGCCAAATCGTAACTTTTCTTAAGGACTAAGGGTAACTCTTGACTTTTTCTGTTTTTGAGTTGCTTTTTCAATACTGTATGTTTCTTTGAGTACTTCAAAGAATGCAGTAATCATTGATATCAATATGTCTAAGGCATGGCACCAGTTTTACTTTAAAATGTTGAGCTTTTTATCGACACCCAATAAAGTATGAGTGTTGGAAGCTAGCGTACCAAAATCTGTTCGGGTGTCATACAAAAAAACTTGGATGGCTCACAAATCGCTTCATATTTTTAAAAAAAAAAACACTTTTAAACAAAACTGAAAATGTAAAAGTGCGGAAAGAACACATGACGCAGAAACTGCAAAAAGAGAAAAAATGATTAGGTAAAAACTTGAGCTTCCTCAAAGTTAACTCCGTTTAAAAAAGCAACACGCGTATTAACTCAGTGTTGAATTTATCCAGCTCAAGTGCACCTCCCTATAATGAGTCGTGGAATTATATAATTCGGAAATGACAACAGGTATGGACAGTTTGGTTCACTTTCCAACACTATTTAAGTCTTCAGTCCCGCGTGTTTCAGTAAACAATTGTGCTATGTTGAAAGAATTTGTCGTTCTAGATATC